TTTTTGTTATATAAAATTTACTTAAAATAAAATCACATTCTTCATTCATCAGTTTCTTGTGTTAATTGAATATAGTGTGATCTGACATTTGAAGAGATTCATCTGTTTTTACCACAGGTGCATTCAATCAGCTCTGAGACCTCAGAGTTTGCATCATCACAATTAATGATACCAGTTAGTTGAATTCATTGTTACTCTGTGCAGGTCATTCTTTGTTTCAGCACTTACCCACAGGCTGGTTTGGATTTGCACACATTCTTCTGTGTTTTAACTAGACTTAAATCGGAGCAGCAAACAAGGCACTCTTCAAAAACTATTCAGGCTCTGGTACTGACTTAAAGTACAAGGTAGAAAGTGAAAATACTCCTCCAAACACAGAAGTAGTACACTGCATAATTACTTTTCACCATTTCATGTGAACCATGAAACATTTTTGGGAGCATTTTCACTTTTCAACTTGGATCAGACGGATGTCCCTCAGCAATATTTCAGCTTTAATGTTTGATATTTTATCTGTGTTGTATCATTAACTTGTCCTTGGAATTGACAGACAGAATCTGAAATCTAACATTTTCAGTCAGTAGTAAAGACAAAATTAGTGCAAATATATAGAGAATTTGTTGCAATGTAAATCCTAATCTCTATATGTAATTTAAATGTGCATAAAAAACGTAGGACATTTAAAACTAAATGTAAAAGTGAACAGAAGTGGAGAAGGCCTTTCCACGTCAGTCCATGCCATCAGATACAGACATCCAGCACACTGAGGATGCATTCCAGGTCTCTACAGCTGTCTGGCACCAGGTGGGACATCATCCACACTGTGACTATGGAAGGAAAATAAATGAGTAATAAATGTTGCAGGTAGTTAATGTAAAGTGTAAAGTTAACGATAAAAGTTATCCTCAGTTTGGGGGACAGTACTATTATGTCACATGTTCGAGAGAAACTGGAACAAGGGAGCAACACTTCCATATAGATATATAGATGACAATAACAATAGTCATTATGTTTTTGTGTGGTCCTTTGAAGACAGACAATGCAAAATCAGCTGTCAAATGTCAAGTAGGCATAACAATAAATGTTAATTCACTGTAACATTAACGTTATTCTCCACAGATTCTAGTGTGGTGAATTACCAGATATATATTTATTAAAAAATGTTGAAGCATTTTAAACCTTGTGTAGTATAACCTAAATAACAGAGAAATAGTTACTTTAAGTGTTGTATAGTTTCAGGTTAACTTACCTCCAGCATAAGCTGGTAATGATGCAGCCACAAGCTACCAACCTCCAACCAGACATGCACCAAGTAAAAGCTACTTCTGCTAACGCAGCCAATTTTGAGCTTCAAAACGGCTCTTCAGAAATCAACAGGTGACGTCACGGACACTACGCCCATTGTTTTATACAGTCTATGGTTAAAACAAGTTACCATCAGAGTCCAGTTTTCTTGTTTGTTTGTTTTTCTGAACAGGTATCAGCAGAAACATTTTTCTTTTATCAGGGAGCTGCATAAACAGTCTATGTTCAGTAGCAAGCGTCTCTGTAGAGTGAGGTGAAGTGGTCGAGCACAATGCGGTAGTGACAAGCGGTGCGGTATGTAAGCCTCCCTCTGCTGCTTGTTTGGGTGGGTGATTTGCAACTTACCACCCCTCCTGTGACCCATGGTTTGATTGTAGGCCTATGTGTATTCAGAGCCAGTGAGAAACGGACTTTCAAAATAATAATAATAACTAGAACTGCAAGCAGTTGTCAGTGGGGTCCAAGCCTCCCGGCGCAAGCCGCCTCCCTCGAGAGCATGCGAGTCAACCCGACGCCCCGCTCACGGGACCCGTGGGGAATAAACGGCCAGAGTTTGAAATGAAAGGGAGATTTGAAATGAAAGGGAGATTTAGAATGAATGTACGTCTATGGGAGTGTTATTTGATATACGTTTAGTAGGTCCACCTAGAGGCTGATTGACACCAAATTTCACACAGCCCGTTGGGAGGGCGTGGCAGATAAGGTCCCCAGGTTTGGTGTTGATCGGCCATTGCAAACATAATGAAAATGTCCTGCGTTTGAAAATCCCATTGAAATGAATGGGATATTGTGACGGTTTAGAGCTTCGATAATAGGGCCACCTTTTGGCCGAATTGCATCGAATTGCAGGTGTCATCAGGGGCCCATGGGGAGCAATTGACCCAAATTTTGTATGAATCGGACTTGTGGTTCTGGAAATGTAAAATGAATGTATGTCTATGGGAGCGTGTGACGGACCACTGTCACTACGGCTGAGTATGCGCTGTGACTGCCATACCATATCTTTGGCGTTGCGGTCAAGTTGGGGTGACTGCTCTTGCCTTTCCGTTAGTGGATGGCTCTTCCTCTGGGTTGTATATTATGTGGGTCACGTTAGTTACAGCGACTGAGAGGTGGATAAGCTGTGTACCTGAGTATTGGTAAAACCACAATAAATTTAAATTGAACATTACGAAGCAAAAAGCGGCAGGTACGAGCTTTTAGTGTTAGCTGGCTGCCCTGTCTGCATCACTATAGGCTAGTTAACAAATCGCTCCACATTTGCTTTTTACTGTTATATCCTTTCTTGCAGGCTAAATCAACACTTTGACATAATACCAGTGGTACACAGGATAGTAATATGGGTTGCGTCTGAACCTGTTTGGTCTGATGGGGTTCAGCACATAAACCTTTACTGTTGTTTTGTATCCTTACATGGAGCCTGTGTTTTGCTGAGAGCCGGTTGTTTTATGGTGTTAGTGGACTGCATGCCGTTAACTGCCGTGTTGTTGCTGTAGTCAGAGAGGCTCTGGAGCGTGCACAGGGCTGAATCTGACCCGGTGTCCTCACATTTCTAGCAGAATAGTGGCTGATGCAAGCAACAGAGAAAACAGGCATCTGCTTCATTTCTAAGTGAGTTTTGAGCCCATCATTGAAAAACTACATATAGCCCCTGTAACGTGCGATAAAATAATTGTTAGCATTAATTAATGCTTTAACGCGTTAACGTGCCCATCCCTAGTAATAAATCAATTTTGCGAAAATTAAGGCCATTAAAAAGTATTAAAAAGTCTTAATCAAAGTATTAAATTTTGTAGATTTTTTTTTTTCAATGTGAAAATCCTATTTGACCAAAGAGATAGGCTGGGTGATTCTTCTGTGTAACATTTGGTGCAGGGATCTACCATGCAAGCATTTCACTGTCATATGCCCCTAAACATATATCCGAGCTAACCGGAAACTGATTTACTAGTACAACCGACTGTAACACCAGACCCCCCAATGCTAATCGTTCAAAACGATGTTGTATTTTACATTGAGCTCTGTGGCCGCTTGAACAGCCATGTTACTCAAAAACTGGAGCAAGATGCGCCGTCAGCAGGTGAAGCGGTAAGCCAGATAACAGTGACAACATAAGCAGCGTTTGGGTGTGGCTAAAGTTAGCTGGCTACTTAGCTAAATTGGTGTCTTTTTATTGAAACACAACTTTTCATAAAGCCAATGCGTTTGTCAGTGTCAGTTTTCGTGAACAGATCGATCACAGCCTGAATGGAGCGAGCCTTTAAAAAAAAGTTTGATCTACTACAGCAAGCTTTCCAAATGTTGAACTCATCGTTCTGCATAAATAGTTATTACTATTGACAAGTTAGTAGCCTGCTTAAAATTAAAGTTAGAGGCTAACCAAGTGGGGTGGTGGTGCAATGGATAAGACTATGCCTTTGGTGTGAGAGAGCAAGGCAACCCCTTGTTGCTCCAGAGGTGTGGGACCTCTGACACATATATAGCAATTTTAAGTTGCTTTGGATAAAAGCATCAGCTAAATGAATAAATGTAAATAAAGAGCATTTTTCTTACACAAAGTTAATGAATATAAAACAACCCCAAAAAGAAACATGTAACTGGAATTAATATAATAGTGGTAAGGTATATACTGTACTATTATAATGAATATAGTAACATCATATAATCACTATACTACTATATTAACAATATATATGCAATATATAATATAAAGTTATAATATTATACTAATACACTCATTTAACTAGTTTCTCCTCCAGGTTGTGGATGGAGCCCCTGTAGTGGACAGAGCTGGGATGCCATTGTGCCAATATCCTTCTAGCTGCCTTCTCCTGAGAGCAACATGTTCACCTTGTTGTATTTTACTAAAGTTATTGTTATAAATATTTACACAAATCAGCTTTAGAATGCAGACAGCAGCTGTTTATCGCAAATGTCTGTGCTAAACCGCCTACACTATTATTACTTAGTTTATTCTCTTGAGCTTTGTTGCCTTCTGGCTTATTTCAATTATGATGTATTTAAGTTTTCACAAAAAATTCTCAAAATCAATTTATTGTTAATGTAAGTTAAAGGTGCAATGTGTAGTTTTTAGCGACTAGCAGTAAGGTTTCAGATTGCAAGCAACAGTATACCCTTTCCGTATTTATGCCTGAAAATAAGTTCTATGTCAGGTAGTTGGCAACTGGTCAGCATTTGCAGGCAAGCTCACATTATCTAGTTTGAATCAACTAAAACGCAAAATCACACTGTGTTTCACAGGATTTGCAGTAATGTTGTGCGCATAAACGTCATAGCCTATGTAAGACGATGGATTTTCACAAGAAGTCCTTCACATAGAAAATAGAAGGTCTATATAGGCAAGAGAAAGTTGGTGAATGCCTCAATTTTGGGGGGGGGGTTCCACCTGGACAGATATAGGCAATAAAAATGTTATAAATATATCTAAATTGTTTTTAAAAATTCCACAATGCCCCTTTTGAATGTGTGTTGCTGACTAACAGGTTGCAGCTCAAAGGCAGTCTTAAAATGTGTTGAAAAGGGCTTGAAAAAGGTCTTAAAAGGTATTGAATTTTACTTCAGGGTTCCTGAAATACCCTGGGTAAACGAGTGTGCTCTCTGAACAAATATTACTATATTCACTTCATGCACTAGTAATAGGCTTTTAACCCATGATTATTTTCTCTTGTTCTCAGGTACAATGGTGACGATGAATGTGGAGGGTCTGCAGAGCCTGACGTCAGATGGCGCCACGCTGGCAGTACAGCAAGTGATGCTGGGAGGCCACAGTGAAGACGAGTCAGGGGACAGCGGAGACGAGGACGATGACGCAGACATGGCTGGGCTGGGCCTGGACAACAGCGACTCATTGCAGTAGAGGACTCTACCCCTCACTCTCTGATTTACACATACACACAAGATATGTGTAAATAGGTCTACAGAATACATGTGTGTTCTCAAACACACAGGGAGTCGCAGTACGTACACACACACGCACACACACACACACACACACACACACACACATTAGGTTTACATAGAGCACAAAGCTACAGGACATAACGGAACAGTCCTGCACTCTTCCATCCCTCCACCCTGCTGAACGGCCGTTTATGCTGCGTGTGTGTACATCAGGAGTTTCATTTCAGAAACTGTTTTTTAATAATTTAGTTGATGTATGCGAGTGCACTTTTTTGTATATTTAAGCTCAAAAAGATTAAATCAAACAAACAGAAGAAAAAAAGAAGTGTTAAAAACACTGAAGCAAGTTTGTGTGCTCCGTTAATAAATGTTGACTGAGTTCTGATTTTTTTTTCTTAGCCCCTTTTCCCTGTCCTTAGCTGAATTCTCATTTTGGATGCCAACACTTTAAATTTGTATCTGTAAGGGTTTGTCTTCACTTTTTGCATGCTTGTGTTTTGAGTAGGTGTACGCACTCTTATGACTGACTCCATGGCGCTCTCTCAGAGGCCTCTGCAGGCCGAGCAGATCTTAAGTGGAGAGATCGGGGGGGGGAGATGCTTATTTTTATATACAAACATATAAAATGAGTGTTTTTTGTTTCATTTTTGTGTTCTCCTGTTTTGTAAGGAATATTTATGTACAGATTCATAATTAAAGCTAGTGACCCTGTTTTCCAGGGTTCCTAGAAGTTTTCTAAAAAACAGAAAAGGAATTGAATGCTGGTGAAAATTTCTATTTAAATTGGTTTTAAACTTACAATACTAAAAAGGCCTTACCTGTGTTCTTTTCTAAAGAATTCTTGCCAAGAAGCACAAAACGAAAGTCTGACCCTCTGTGAAATTGGTCAAAAAGACACTAAACTGCAGAACCCTTGCGCGGTTCTGTAAAGCATCGGTAATAATTTTACTTTGTGCACTGCAACATCCCAGTTACCTGAAGAGTTGAAGAGATCATACACAGTAACTTGACTGCAGTGCTCAGATTTTTTTAAATACAGCTCCAGTTTAACTCTCATTGTGTATACCATATATTACGTCTTTTAATCATTTTACAGTAGTAGCGTAGGCGTCACTTTCTGAAATGCACAATCCAGAACACTATGCTAATCACACAATCAAAAGGGTCCGAGGTGGACACCCCTGGAAGGGCAGTATCCACAGTGAGATATGAAATCCACCATCAACAACTTTTTGCACGCATTAAACTTTTATTTATGTACATGTACATGCTACTGCGTTGAAAACAAAGAGCAGTTAGAAGGTTGGACTCCTTTGTTCATTGCCTGCCTGAAGGACTGGGACTAAGAGCTGCAGCCTCTGTTGGTCCCCTTGCCACTACACATGTAGTGAAATATGTTAAATCTCTTTATCAATATATTGATATTACTGCACAATTTGGGGTGCCTCTTGTTTGAATATCTCTATTGTACTGTACAGCAGTTGTCAGTAGTTGCAGTAATCTGGTTTGTATCCCTCTTGTAAAGTTGAGACTTGAAATGATTCATTTCATGCAGCCTGATGGTGTAATGACTCTGGGTGGGCCCTCGCTGAGCTCTCGGTTCCTCACTTGCATCTGTCTTGCTTTTTATGAAGCGTTGTTCACTTTTCTCTTGTCTGTTTGCCTTAGAGCTTTCTATTTTGGAATAAACAACGCCTAACTCTATGCTGTGCACCGTCTCTTCTCTCTGCTCTGTCAGCTTTGCCCCCAAACAGGATTTGTGTGGATCACAGGCTCTGCCATTCTGGCAAAATACTTCTATCTTTACTGTAGTTTTTTTTTGTTTCTTTTTCTTTTTTTAAGTCAACTGTGGAAACATCCAAACAGAATCATGTAAGAAGTAACCAGGGGATTCAGTTGTCTGTGCTCAGAGGTGGAGAATTGTGAGCCTCTTCTCTCTGAAAGACAGAAATGGACAGTTTTAACACAAATGGAGGAAAACATGGAAACGTAGGCGTAAGAATCTGTTTCTTGTAATATGGTGGTCACAACTGGCCATACCTGAATTATTTTAAATACACCTGTGGGTCCATCTTTTGAAACATATGTTTAAGCTACAGCACTTTATTTTAGAAGTTCTAAAAGCACCAAATATGCAAGGTTTTGTGAAAAACTTTACTATCTTGGAAAATATAAGCTGTTTGTTTACAAACTTCTGTTACTGATTTTCTAATAGTGATTGAAGTTTGTCTTCATGAAGTCTGAGATTTTCTGTGTGGTAATGAGCACAGTACATGGAAACAAGGCCCAGTTTATGTGCTTGTATCGCAGAATCTAAATGGTAAAAGGAATATTGAGTCCAAGTGTAGTATTTCAAAGCTTTTACCAAACAAAGACAGCTGAAATTAGGCCAATAAGACTACCTCACCAGCTGCTGTATTGGATTCCATTAAGGAGGAGAACCAGCTGTTGGTCCAACATCACATAACAAGATCACCAACAGCTGGTATTGTGCAGGGGTCAATTAGTCGAGGTTTAACTGAAGAAACTGGATTCTTCAACAGAAGTTTTTCTTCAAACTCTCCTTTAAAAATCTTTTTTAAGTCCTCACTCAGAACAACCTCTGGCCATGTTTAAGAGTGCCATAATATAATTACCACTACAAATACTACTATTACAACTTCATATTTACTGCAGGGTTGTTGTATTTAGAAAGATGTGATAGTTTGCACAGTATCAGGGGCCGCTTTCACAAAGGTACACTTGGATGGTGTAGATCTGAGAAGTAGTCAAACTTTAAAATTCATTTGTGGCACAAAGCTTGACTATCTTAAGTATGATTCATTGGCCTTGAATTCTTTGTAAATTAAGACTTGTTTTTTAAACTTAAACATGGCTGTCACATTAGTTTAGCTCCCTTCACGCCTATGTGTGAATATGTCCTCTGGAAAAATCCAACACTTACGCCCCTTTTCCACTGCATGGTACCAGCTCGACTCGACTCTACTCGTTTTCCATTGGGGAGAAGTTGTATCTGCTACCTGGTACTTTTTTTCCTATCACCTGGCGGATCAAAAATGTGCTTGAATGTTTTCAGAGTTGAAGAGCTACACAAGTGCCGCTGGGGGAAGCTAACAAGCCACCGTCGGGGGAAGCTCGCACACTGCTCTGGTCTCACAGTCACACAGACTGCTGCAGCCAACGCAGCAGACAACTCCAGCGACAACAGCAGAGGAAACCACTTCTCTGTCTTTACATTCTGAGTAATGTTAAACTGTTTTAACTTAAATCAAGAGACAGGTGTGTGTTGTGTTGAACATGACGTCGTGGCAGTTGTGTGCTACATTGAGGGGTACTATTTGCAATGGAAAATAGAGCCCGAGGCGAATTGAGTGGATACCAGTGGTGGGAAAAAGGCTTTAGTCTGATAATTTACTGACCACTAGCCTTGAAGTGTACCATGAAAACATAGTGTATTAGCCTAGTGGTAGGATAGCTAACTTTTAAGTCTGTATTTTTGTGAAGCAGTCTTATTTGCATTACAACAATCTAAGAGTAAAATTAAGACTGAGCTAACACAACAGACCAGTCTAAAATATCTTTACAAAAAACTGGCCCCAGGACACTGAAAATGAAGCAGCTAAATGGAATTCAAGCTTCATTCATTTTATTATTTACAACTGTAACAAAAGGTCTATTGCTCTGGATAAGGAGCAGACAACACTGTCAAGTTTACATATTCAACCCATCAAAAATGTGTTGACAAGGCTCTTCCAAGTACAGCCTTCCTTTGTCTGTATATGTCTTATATACAGGTGCTGGTCATATAATTAGAATATCATCAAAAAGTTGATTTATTTCAGTAATTCCATTCAAAAAGTGAAACTTGTATAATGTATACATTCATTCCACACAGACTGATATATTTCAAGTGTTCATTCCTTTTAATTTTGATGATTATAACTGACAACTAATGAAAACCCCAAAATCAGTATCTCAGAAAATTAGAATATTGTGAAAAGGTTCAATATTCAAGACACCTGGTGCCACACTCTAATCAGCTAATTAACTAAAAACACCTGCAAAGGCCTTTAAATGGTCTCTCAGTCTAGTTCTGTAGGCTACACAATCATGGGGAAGACTGCTGACTTGACAGCTGTCCAAAAGACAACCATTGACACCTTGCACAAGGAGGGCAAGACACAAAAGGTCATTGCTAAAGAGGCTGGCTGTTCACAGAGCTCTGTGTCCAAGCACAATAATAGAGGCCAAGGGAAGGAAAAGATGTGGTAGAAAAAAGTGTATAAGCAATAGGGATAACCGCACCCTGGAGAGGATTGTGAAACAAAACCCATTCAAAAATGTGGGGGAGATTCACAAAGAGTGGACTGCAGCTGGAGTCAGTGCTTCAAGAACCACCACAGACAGATGTATGCAAGACATGGGTTTCAGCTGTCGCATTCCTTGAGTCAAGCCACTCTTGAACAAGACACAGCGTCAGAAGCGTCTCGCCTGGGCTAAAGACAAAAAGGACTGGACTGCTGCTGAGTGGTCCAAAGTTATGTTCTCTGATGAAAGTAAATTTTGCATTTCCTTTGGAAATCAAGGTCCCAGAGTCTGGAGGAAGAGAGGAGAGGCACAGAATCCACGTTGCTTGAAGTCCAGTGTAAAGTTTCCACAGTCAGTGATGGTTTGGGGTGCCATGTCATCTGCTGGTGTTGGTCCACTGTGTTTTCTGAGGTCCAAGGTCAACGCAGCCGTCTACCAGGAAGTTTCAGCACTTCATGCTTCCTGCTGCTGACCAACTTTATGGAGATGCAGATTTCATTTTCCAACAGGACTTGACACCTGCACACAGTGCCAAAGCTACCAGTACCTGGTTTAAGGACCATGGTATCCCTGTTCTTAATTGGCCAGCAAACTCGCCTGACCTTTACCCTATAGAAAATCTATGGGGTATTGTGAAGAGGAAGATGCGATACGCCAGACCCAACAATGCAGAAGAGCTGAAGGCCACTATCAGAGCAACCTGGGCTCTCATAACGCCTGAGCAGTTCCACAGACTGATGGACTCCATGCCACGCCGCATTGCTGCAGTAATTCCGGCAAAAGGAGCCCCAACTAAGTATTGAGTGCTGTACATGCTCAAACTTTTCATGTTCATACTTTTCAGTTGGCCATTTCTAAAAGCCCTTTTTTTGTATTGGTCTTAAGTAATATTCAAATTTTCGGAGATACTGAATTTGGGATTTTCATTAGTTGTCAGTAATAATCATCACAATTAAATGAAATAAACATTTGAAATATATCAGTCTGTGTGTAATGAATGAATATAATATCCGAGTTTCACTTTTTGAATGGAATTTCTGAAATAAATCAACTTGTTGATGATATTCTAATTATATGACTAGCACGTGTGTGTGTGTGTGTGTGTGTGTGTGTGTGTGTGTGTATATATATATATGTAAACTAAACGTGTATGCCCTGCAGGAACATTCTGATCATATGGGGAATGCTCCGTTGACATATTTTTTGGGCTTGAGGCAGTGGTTTAGTACTAGTCCTATCTTCTCCAAAACCTTAAAGAGGCAGGTCCCAAAACAGGACAAGGCTTGGGATGTACTGACCTCCATCTGTTTGCGGATCCAGCTGAGTGACTGCGTAATGCGAGTGTAAACGCCCGGCTTGTTCCTCATTGCACAGCCAACTCCCCAGCTGGTTGCTCCAACCAACTTCCATACAGATGAGTCCTCACAGGCCAGAGGACCTCCACTGTCCCCCTGAGGAGACACAAGGTTCCCGTCTAACTTATAAAATCACCAGTCCTTCACAGCCTCTTAAACCAATGACACACAGGCAAAGAGAGTAAATCATTACATTTCCTGTTATTATAATAGAAAAGATTTTGTGAACTGTACAGTAATTTTATTTTTATTTGTTTGGAAAGGAGTATTTTAGTACAGTTAATTATGGTGACAATTTATTTGACAGATTCCATAGTTAGCTGTTAATTTCACGGAAAGAAACGGATAGTGTAGTGAACCAGCCAGTGTTGTTTTGGTTAATTTATAACAAAAAGGATTAATCCAGAATCTCTCAACCCTTAACAGACAACTAAAGTACCCCAGACGAAGGTTCGTGTGAATATATGGCTACTTAGCCATATTCACACGAACATTCGTTGAATTTACTTCGTTTTGTTAAGAGTTATTAGACCGTAAGCCAGGCAACTTTGAATTCAGGAACAACCAAGTTCCCTTTTTAAGCTTTATTTTAGTCAAATTAACTTCTACTGCTCCCACCGAAGTTCGGACCCAGCCACGTGGGTCTGTTACACCAGCAGTAATCCTGAGGACATCAAACCAACAAACTAAGCCTGGGCTGACCGCCCGTTACTACGAGCGTTTTTCCTGCAACTACCAGCCAGCCAAAGGACTCCGGATAATCCATCGGCCCAAAACCCGCTCGAGAAGCTGTGTAGCGTGCCAAGCCACGGAGGCCCTGACCACACGAACGAGCAAAGCCGACAGTGAGCCTTTGCTAGACGGCTGAGAAACCAGCATTCTGTGGTCGAGGTGATGTCCTTTATTTTAACCCTTTAGCCTAAACTCCTAGCCAAATTGAAGTTGTCAAAACCTGCGTTCATTCGTTCCCTTGTTCTCTTACTAAAATTCTTTCCACAATAGACCACTAAATTCACATTGAACTCCATCATCCTCATTGATTGCATTCTGTTTGTTTAATCATTATCGTTTTATTTCTTTGATATATTTAACCTCACTTTGTATTCACTTTAGTTAGTTAATACATTTCACCTAAATCACAGGAACTGTGTGTGTGTACTGTTTAAAGCCAAGTCACTGGACAGAGGATTCACGACTTTAATATGAGACTGACTGATTGATTAAACTGACTCAAAAGGATTAGCAATTATTAACTAATTGATCACTAGCAAATAATTGTGTAATTAATAAAGCTATACCCAAGGAGTCCTAAAGCCTTGGGCGGGCAGCAGATTTCATAAAACGAGAATTTTATGAATTAATATTTCCACATATTCATAATTGAGTAGTGTAATTGCGCACTTTAAATGTAGTGCTATATACACAATAGTGCAATAACATGTGGTTTGCAAACACTTTAAACAAATAATGTGCTTTTTACCAGCAGTATTCACTTAGCGGTGATCTTATGTGCACGTGTTCACTCGCACAGACTTTACTTGGTTAAAAACTTGAAATGACATTACAAGTCGCGGTGGATATTTTACAAGCACGGAGCAGGTAACGTTAAAGCAGCATTGAACACAGGGTGCAGATGTTGGTTTGGGTTGTTTGAGTTGTTTGACAGGCTGCGTCATTAACAAGCAAGCGGCTCACCTGCTGCCGTGATAACAGATTGCGGGTGGAAAAATACGGAAAAGAGATGACAGTGTAGTCTGCTGAAGCCTCCCTCCGCTGCTTATTTGGGTGGGTGATTTGCAGGCTGATCAACACCCCCCCTCCTGTGACCCATGGTTTGACTGTATGTGTATTCAGACCCAGTGAGCAACAGACATTCAAAATAATAATAATTAAAAAAAAAACTGCATTAACGTGCGATAAAATAATATTTGGCATTAATTAATTATAATACTGCGTTAACGTGCCCAACCCTACTAGAAATACAGAAAAACCATTGAATGGGAACTTAAGGTTTGTCCAGACTTTTGACATGTACTGTATATCTAATGAATCATTGTTTGTCTTGACATTCTGTGCTAGGAAAACTAGTACTTTAACAGATCTCCTGTCATATCATCATTTAGTTTCAGTCTCTTACGTGACCCTGTTTAGTTGAGAACTGTCAATTGTTTTTTTTTCCCAACACTGTAATTGTGTTATCATTTATTTCAAAAGGAATAAAACTGTAGTGATTCCTCCCGTAGAGGAATCTCAGCTGCTCTGTGATTCTGCAAAGTGAATCTTGGTGAATCACTGTTTAAAGACCATCTGTACCTGACAGGAGTCCGTTCCTCCCTCCAGGTATCCTGCACAGATCATCCAGGAGGAGATGAAGCCCTGGTAAACCTCTGGCTGGTTGCAGGTCTTAGTGGAGAGCAGTGGCACCATGGCTGAGCGCAGAACCACACTGGTCTCTCCTGAAAAATGCATGCCATTTCAAGCATGTAGGTGTCAGACAGGTCAGGACCACAATATCAAGTAATGAAGTTGTTATGTTATTATGTTGTTTTCCATGTTCAGACTCACCTTCATCCTCAGTTGCTCCCCAGCCAGAGATCCAGCACATGGTGCCCTGCTCAAACTTCTCCCCATAGTTTGGCAGGCAGATGGGCTCCACAAAGCCTACAGAAGAGAATTTTAATGTATTGGATAAACTCTACACAATTGTGTGTATGCAGTTTCCACCATAATCAGCATCAATTAATAATGCAGCTAGTGTGTAATTACACATAAATCCTGTTTTCAGGTTAGTATAAATAATGACGTCATACTACATGGTGCGCAATATATTATTTAAAATAAATAACCAGGATAACTTCTTATATTTTTTTACTAACAAATTAGGGCTGGCTGTGGCTCAGGAGGTAGAGCGGGTTGGCCGGTAATCAGAAGGTCAGCAGTTCAATCTCTGGTTCCCCCTGGTTGCATGTTGAAGTGTCCTTGGGCAGGATACTGAACCCCGAATTGCCCCTGGCGGCTGTTCTGCCAGTGTATGAATGTGTGTGAATGGTGAATACAGATGTAGTGTAAAACAAAGTGTAAAAGCACTTTGAGTGGTCGAAAAGACTAGAAAGGTGCTATACAGAGCATTTACAATTAGTCATTTAGCTTTTATCTAAAGCCACTTATAATTGCTATGTAATCTCAGCGGCCACTTTATTAGGTACACCTGTTCAGCTGCTTGCTAACACAAATAGCTAATCAGCAAATCATATGGCAGCAACTCAATGCATTTAGGCATGTAGACGTGTTTGACAACTTGAAGTTCAAACCAAGCATCCCCCAAGCAGAATGGGTAAGAAAGGAAGTGACTTTGAACGTGGCATGGTTGTTGTTGCCATACAGGCTGGTCTGACTATTTCAGAAACTGCTGATCTACTGGGATTTACACACACAACCATCTCTAAGGTTTACAGAGAATGGTCTGAAAAAAAGAAAATATCCAGTGAGAGGTAGTTGTGTGGACGAAACTGCTTTGTTGATGTCAGAGGTCAGAGGAGAATGGGCTGTCTGGTTCCAGATGACAGAAAGGCAACAGTAACTCAAATAACTACTTGTTACAACCAAGGTATGCAGAATACCATCTCTGAACACACAACACATCGAACCTTGAAGCAGATGGGCTACAGCAGCAGGAGACCACACCGGGGGCCACTCCTGTCAGCTAAGAACAGGAAACTGAGGCTACAATTCATACAGGCTCACCAAAACTGGACAACAGAAGATTGGAAAAACGTTGCCTGGTCTGATGAGTCTTGATTTCAGCTGCAGCATTCAGATGGATGACAATTTGGGGTTTTGTTTGACTTATTTGATTTTTTCCCCCTGTGTTTCTAGTTTTGCCATTGTTTCATATGTCTTTCTATTTGCTTCGGTTTCTCTCATTCCTTGTCCTTAGTTATTGAGTATTGTCACATGCTTTACTTCCTCTTTTATTTTATTATTGTCAGTGTCTGGTGTTCTCATCTAGCTTTGTACTGTTAGTCTTGTTCATTCGATATTTAGTTTATAACCTCTACCTGGTTTTTGTGCTTTTGTTTATGGATCTGTCTGCTTGTGTTTTTGGTTTATTCTTTATTCTGTGCTGTTCCATTTTGGTTTCATGGTCTCACCTTCTTGTTTCCAAGGGGGTAAGCCAGGGACCGGACAGTGAAGCCGACCAAAGCCTGCATGGAGGGATCCATGTAGGCCCAAAAATGACGTCAAAACCCTGTGACACCCCGTCGCACATGAGAGATGTAACCGTGTTGCTTACATTATAAACTCTCTGCAATAAAAACAAACTATCAGTGACGCTGCGTTGTTGTTTGACAGGTGAGCCTCGTAGGTGGGCTGATTAAACTGTGACGATCTGAGTCAGACAAACACAATGAGCCATGACACTTTTTGTTGGCGCAGCTATGCAGCTACCAGAATTACGGTGTTTCTGCAGTTGTTCTACGTCAAACCACGGTTATGCTGCGCAATCATGCGCAGTAGATGCTGGTGCCAACAGGAAGTTGGATAAGATAACTTCTATGTAAATGCTCTGTATAGCGCCTTTCTAGTCTTTTTGACCACTTTTACACTACATCCACTCACATTTATATAGTGACCTGGCAGAGTCGCAGTCTAACACACTTCTCTGCTCGTCCATTTGAGGAGTTACTTAGTAAATGCTCTGTACTTGTATAGCGCCTTTCTAGTCTTTTCGACCACTCAAAGCGCTTTTACACTACATCTGCATTCACCAGTCATACACATTCATACACTGAGCCTAAGTGCTCAAATGGAAACTAACATTCACACACATTCATACACTGGCGGAACAGCCGCCAAATCGGGCCCAAGGACACTTCGACACGCAACCAGGGGGAGCCAGGGATCGAACCGCCGACCTTCCGATTAACGGCCAACCCGCTCTACCTCCTGAGCCACAGCCCTATAGTGACGGTGTCTGCCCCCCGACCATCAAAATTATTTAAATCAAAGGTAAACAGAAGAGGAGCTGTACATAAAAACCTCATAAAAATTAAAACCACAAGAGCAATAGTGCAAACATATAGGAAAATTAAACTCATTAGACTCATAAACATCAGCATTAAACATCAACATTAAACATCAGATCTCTCTCTTCTAAAGGTGTACTAGTAAATGAACTAATATCAGATTATGATCTTGATTTATTTTGTCTTACTGAAACCTGGCTGGGTGATGGAGAATATGTTAGCCTAAATGAATCCACCCCTCCCAGTCATATTAATACTCACATTCCTCGAGGCACAGGCCGAGGAGGTGGAGTTGCAGCTATCTTCAACTCTAGCCTACTAATCAGCTCTAAACCTAAACTAAACTATAACTCATTTGAAAGCCTTGTTCTTGGTCTTTTGCACCCAAGTTGGAAATCACTGCAACCAATTCTCTTCATTATAGTGTACCGAGCACCTGGCCCGTATTCTGAATTCTTATCTGAATTTGCAGAGTTTTTGTCAACTTTAGTCCTTAAAACGGACAAAGTTATTATTGTAGGAGATTTTAATATTCATGTGGACGTTGAGAATGACAGCTTTAGTACTGCGTTTATCTCTCTGTTAGATTCCATCGGCTTCTCTCAGAGTGTTCATGAACCGACTCACTGTTTTAACCACACCCTCGACCTTGTTTTGGTGTATGGTATTGAAATTGAACATTTAGTGGTGTTCCCACAGAATCCCTCTTTGTCCGACCACTGTTTGATAACTTTTGAGTTTGTATTGCTGAACTACTCGCCACTGGGCAAAAATTTCTATACAAGATGTCTGTCTGATAGTGCCATAGCTAAATTTAAGGATGCGATTCCATCAGCTCTAAATACATTATCTAGTCACAAAGTAACGGAGGACTCCTATGCTAGTTTCAGTCCCTCCCAAATCGATCATCTTGTTGATAGTGCTGCAGGCTCGCTTCGAATGACACTCGACTCTGTAGCCCCTCTAAAAAAGAAAATACTAAAACAAAGACGGTTAGCTCCATGGTATAATACTGAAACTCGCAAATTAAAGCAAATATCACGGAAACTTGAGAGGAATTGGCGTTCTACCAAAGTGGAAAATTCTCGTTTAATTTGGCAAGATAGTCTTAAAACTTATAGGAAGGCCCTCCGTAATGCCAGAGCAGCGTACTACTCGTCATTAATAGAGGAAAATAGGAACAACCCCAGGTTTCTTTTCAGCACTGTAGCCAGGCTGACAGAGAGTCACAGCTCTATTGAGCCAAGTATTCCCATAACTCTCAGTAGTTACGACTTCATGAGCTTCTTTAATGATAAAATTCTAACTATTAGAAACAAAATTCACCAAGACCTGCCCTCAACTGGCACCGACTTATCTCTTAACTCAGGAACCTTAGAAACAGCTGTAGAACCAGATACATGTTTAGACTGTTTTGCTTCCCTCGATCTTTACCAACTAACTTCAATAATTTCTTCATCTAAACCATCAACCTGCCTTTAAGACCCCATCCCGACTAGGCTGCTTAAAGATGTTTTACCCTTAGTCAGCACTTCTATACTAGATATGATCAATCGACAGTGGGTACGGAAAGTATTCAGACCCCTTTAAATTTTTCACTCTTTGTTTCATTGCAGCCATTTTCCAAAAATCAAAAAAGTTCATTTTATTTCTCAGTAATGTACACTCAGCACCCCATCTTGACAGAAAAAAACAGAAATGTAGAAATTTTTGCAAATTTATTAAAAAAGAAAAACTGAAATATCACATGGTCATAAGTATTCAGACCCTTTGCCGTGACACTCATATTTAACTCAGGTGCTGTCTATTTCTTCTGATCATCCTTGAGATGGTTCTACTCCTTCATTTGAGTCCAGCTGTGTTTGATTATACTGATTGGACTTGATTAGGAAAGCCACACACCTGTCTATATAAGACCTTACAGCTCACAGTGCATGTCAGAGCAAATGAGAATCATGAGGTCAAAGGAACTGCCTGAAGAGCTCAGAGACAGAATTGTGGCAAGGCACAGATCTGGCCAAGGTTACAAAAAAATTTCTGCTGCACTTAAGGTTCCTAAGAGCACAGTGGCCTCCATAATCCTCAAATGGAAGACGTTTGGGACGACCAGAACCCTTCCTAGAGCTGGCCGTCCGGCCAAACTGAGCTATCGGGGGAGAAGAGCCTTGGTGAGAGAGGTAAAGAAGAACCCAAAGGTCACTGTGGCTGAGCTCCAGAGATGCAGTCGGGAGATGGGAGAAAGTTGTAGTAAGTCAACCATCACTGCAGCAATCCACCAGTCGGGGCTTTATGGCAGAGTGGCCCGACGGAAGCCTCTCCTCAGTGCAAGACACATGAAAGCCCGCATGGAGTTTGCTAAAAAACACCTGAAGGACTCCAAGATGGTGATAAATAAGATCCTCTGGTCTGATGAGACCAAGATAGAACTTTATGGCCTTAATTCTAAGCGGTATGTGTGGAGAAAACCAGGCACTGCTCATCACCTGTCCAATACAGTCTCAACAGTGAAGCATGGTGGTGGCAGCATCATGCTGTGGGGGTGTTTTTCAGCTGCAGGGACAGGACGACTGGTTGCAATCGAGGGAAAGATGAATGCGGCCAAGTACAGGGATATCCTGGACGAAAACCTTTTCC